TGGAAAAGAGCAAGTAAAGAACTAGAAAGTGGTTCATTAGCACATGGAGCAGGTATCCAGTTTCACTGGCTTTATAGCTGATCCTCACTTTTTCCCTGGCCTGGTAAACAGAAACTATTAGGTGTCCATAAAAAGAAAAATGCTTAGAAAAAAACTTCATTTAGAATTCAGGGTGAAAAGATGATACAGTGTGGTCCTTGGCCTTTAACCTTTACGGGGAAACGTTTCATAAGTACTAAACCTTGGCCTCAAACTGGAAAATCTGTAATACTTCTTTTCCCCCAACTAACCCTGTAGGCCTGAGATGAAAACCCCAAACCCTGTTAAACTACAGCTTAGTATTAAATTTTGGGAAAGAGGGATTAAAACAATTTGGAGGTGAATGACTTTTCCCCCAATAGAACCAGTTATTTATTTGCTAAGAAACTTGGATCTTTATGCAGCTCTCTAAATTGGGGTTTTTTCGCCCTTGAATCCCCTTCAGGGGTAACTATGTATTAAGTATCCATAAATATTTATGAGCTCCAGTTAAACAAAAACCTTTTCAAACCAATAATAAAGTATGAGAATGCAGAATTCCTGCAATATATTGCAAATTAAAATACAGCCTTACAAAGAGACCTTTATGTCAAAAGGTATCTTTGAAATAAATGTCGCTGTTGCCGCTAATGCTTCTATACATTGACTTAGCTGGAGGTCCTTGTAGGCAGTTTGTGGGTACAGTGAACGACAGCTGGGACAGACAGTGCCCATGAGCAGAGCTGGGCCGGAGAGGAATTTCATTTTTCCTTCATTCTCAAAAAGCTTGGGTGCAGCCCAGCCTCCTCCACCCAGTTTCCCTCTGCTTGGACCACGTACGTTGGCCCGGACTGTTTTTCCACCTCTGCTTGAACAATCAAGTCTTACGTTCTCTCCTGTCCTACTTTAGCTGTGTTTCAGACGACTCAGTAAAGCAGTACACGTCACGGGACCACCTCGCAAAGCACTTCCAGGTTCCCGTCTTCAAGTTTGTGGGCAAAGACCACAAGGTAAGCTGAGCCCCCCCCCCCCAGCCACCTGAGCCTTCCTTCCCAATACCCAACTTGTTTACATCCTGCGAGCCCACAGTTACAACCTACATCACCTCTGTAAAAAGTACTGTAAAACTGGCCATCTGGAAGCTTAACGCTTTCATGAATGTCCTAACTATCTGCCCCCTCCCAATAAAATAACTGTGTTTGTTCAAAGAAAGTGCTATATGATCCAAATTTCAAACCCTTGTGGGCAGGTACAGCTGAAAAAGCCTGTGTAGTGACCTCAAGGCAAAGAATATGGCCAGAAAATTCACAGAAAAAAATAAATATTGAAATACTCAGTGACAATCGTACTTAAAATGCCAATTAAAACAATTGTGACACTATTTTATGCATATTAATGTATAAAAATTATGAATAAAAATGCCAAATTACATTGTACATTTACACAATGGCTGTATAAATTGGTATACTTTCTGGAAAGTTGTCTAGTAATATGTATAATAGCCATAAAATCACCATATGCTTTTTCCTAAAAATTTCAATTCTCAAAAACAATCAAGCAAAAGAAGAAAAATAAGACTCATTGGCTGTGTTTCTAGTGCTGTTATAAGGGGAGTGAAAAAAAGGCCCGCACAGGGCAGCCATATCAATTAGTGCAGTATTAAGTAGTTATTCAAATGGTGTCAAAATATGGAAATACAGAAAAAGGAGCTATGAAAAACTTGCCATAACAATTCACATACACATGGAATATGCTACTTTTTAATGTGCACACATGGATACAGAGGTTATAAGCAGTTTTATAGAGGAGGGTAAGCTGGAAGGGTTTTTTTCCAACAGAGTTGTTAAAACATTTCAACACAAATTTAAGAGATGAACACTCTTTTCCACACTGCTTTTAAGTGTGATGATGTCCTTTCCAGCTACATCACTGCTCCAGAACAAGTGCTAACCTCGAGGCTAATCCTGCTCTCCCTCCTCAGCTAGGCCACATGCTTTGGGGAGTTACTTATAGGAAGAAGCTCGGAGAAAGAACCTCTTTGCACAGAAGTGTATGGGAGCCAATGGTATTCCTCATCTCGATGTGAGGAGCGAAGGTGTTCACGTTAGTAGATGTACATTAGTAGATCAGAGGTCTCTCCTGGCCCTGAACAACCACATAAGTTGTGGACATGGGGTTCTCAATCCCCCGTGGGACTCCATGTATTTGACTAATGTGTGAATTTGGGCAAGTTCTCTCATCTCTCCACTGTCTGTTTTCTCATCTGTAAAATGAGGATGATAACATCTACCTCAAAGCGTTGTTGTTTAGATGAAATAAGATACATGAAACACGTGGCAGTATCTGGCTTCTAGAAAGTGCCCCACAAGCGATAGCTGTTACAATTTTTTGCTAATTGTAATTATGGTCCTTGCAGGAAGTGTTTCTGCACTGCCGGGTCCTTGTCTGTGGAAAGCTGGAGGAGCAGTCTCGCTGTGCCCAGGGCTGCCACCGGCGAATGCGCCGCGAGGCAGGAGGAGGGAGCACAGCTACTGCGCAGAGCCAGTTGCTGACAGGTGGCCCCATCACCATCGACTGGGAGGACTAGGACCCAAACACCCAAGACCTGTCTTTGGGCTGCCCACCTATTTGGACCTTCTCCCCATGCCCCCTGAGAACATTCGTCAACACAATAGAACCCTGGCACCTTCAAACCTCATACTGTGCGTCTAGATGCTCCTGGACTCGACTCCCTCTGATTCTGGTCCACTGGGTCTAGAGAGGGCAGCTCACTGCCCACCCACTGGACCCCTTTAGGGCTTCATCCTCCTATGGCTGAAAGCTCTGCTGTCCACACAGAAAGCAGTTCACCCCATTCCCTCCATTTCTTTTCTACAATAAAACACCTTGTATAGGATGCAGTAATACCACTAAAATCAGAAGTTGGGTATAATATTTCAAATTAAGAACTTAAAAAAGTAAACAGTTGCTTGAAATGATGCTTAAATACCCACTGACTTCTCAAATATGTAAATAATATACCCTGGAATCTCAATTCAAATACAGAATAGTTAAGGGGATTTGAAAATTCATCAATATAAGTGTGTACTAAAAATATTATTTGGATTTTCTCTTTCACAATTTTTTCTTCTGATGTTTTTATATTGCCTTAAGTGAAATATCTTCAATGAATAAATGTTAAATTAATTAACATGCATTTCGTGTATGTCAATGAATGAATTGTAGACAAAATTAAAATATAGTAATATAAGCCCTGTTCTTTGGTATTCTATGCCCTCAGATTGATAAGACAATAGAAAAAGTTATAAAATACTATTTTGTAGGTGCTTAATAAATTTTATTGAAATAAATAGCATAAACTGCAGAGATAAACTTTATCTGCAGTCAAATCCAATTTCTTAATGTTAATTTTATGGGTTCACATAAGATCAGGAAACAGCTTTTCTTCTTTTTCTTTTTAGAAATGGCTACAATCTACATCTTGATGGAACCAGTGAAATTTAAGGAAACAAAAGGAAAGGAAAGGAGAAAATTCTCTACATTGGGGGTTTACCAGATTTTTCTGAAAAGGCCAAATGGTAAATATTTTAGGCTTCCTGAGTGGTACCATCTGCGTCACAAGTGCTCAGCTCTGCTGCTGTGGCCCGGGCGCAGCCACAAGCACACGTGAGCACGGCTGTGTTCTAGTCAGACTTCACGTAAACAGGGGTGGGGCCTGATTTGGTCCATGGGCTTTCAGTTGCCAATCCCTGTCCTGGTGGCCCTCAGTCCTCACGGCGCATCAGAAGCGCTTTTGTGGAATAGCAACACGGGCATACCTCAGAGATACAGCCAGTTTGGTTCCAGGCCACGACAATACAGTGAGTATCACAATAAAGCACGTCACTACCTTTTTTTCTGGTGGGAGGTCTGGCCCTCCATTTGTAAAAATGTAACATCTGTGAAGGGCAATAAAGCCAAACTCAACAAAACAAGGCACGCCTGCCCGTGGACACCACCCCCAGAGAGCCTTTGTTTTCTAGTTCTCCTCAGCTGATTCTAATTTGCCTTCAGGGTTGAGAACCACCATTTGGGGAACGGCCACTTGTCTCTCACTCCCCTCAGATTTCAGGGTCTTTTCCAAGTTATATTCAATGGCAGTTTCTACAAAGCGCTTCTCAGACCTTAACATGATACAAAGACCACCTGCTACTTGGGGGCGTCAACAGGAGTCGTTCACTGAAGGGAAAAAATGGAACCTCAGAGACCAAACTCCACCTGACCCCCTGCACTGGCTTTCATCAGGTGAGCCCCTGACCGCCGGTTCTTGCTTCTTCAGCACCAGAGGGAATAACTGTGATCACTGATGGAACTTACCAGGTTGGGTTCTGTTTTCTTCTAAGGGAAATGGAAGCAAATTGGTAATAATCGAATTCATTCATCTCTTTTCAAATTTTCTAAAAAGTACACTTTATTATATGTGAGATGCTTACTGGCAACTGAAACATGGACTAGAGGAAACTCATTGCTTCCCCAATTTCACTTATGAATATGATTGTTAAGTTCAGAAATCCCAGTATTTAGTCTTTATTTATAAAGTCTTTAAACTAAGAGCCTGAATTTCCAGGCAAATGTGTCTGAGTTGGGGAGACCAGCACTACAGTGACGAGTGAACTTCAGATCACTCTGTGTCTTTTTTCCAATTCTCCTCAAAGGATGGGACTCAAGTCTCAGCTGCCGAGTGTTTCCTTCCTCTTGCTTTGTGGTGTCCAAGCTTTTGGGAGAAGGGATGAGACACATCTGCCCCATTTTACCCTCTCCAAGACCGACAGTGTGGTGTCCCTCAGAACGAGCAAGGAATCCCCTCTTCCTTATAACTCTTCCTTCTCCTCTTCTGCGCAGATGCAGGCTGCCCGTTGACTATTCATAAAGGGTCGGCAGCCCAAGGTCCATACAGTGTTAAACACGGTGTCAGCCAGAGAATCGCATGCTACTTGAAAAATATGTAGAGAAGCATAAAAGTTAATACACAGAACTACCCCCAAGCAATATGAGTAATTTTAAAAAGGCAGTGTCTTTCCAAGTTTGACATCATACCCAGAGGAAAGTAGAAGTAAGATCCAAATACAGAATTAAAGGAAGAGCATACATTGAAAAGAAGGTTTTTCAGAGAAGCTTCCATCTAATCTACTAGAGCAGAATACACTTTGGGGTGCCCTCCTTTCATGGGCCTCTAGGTCAAAATCATGGTTAGTCATCAGAGTCTTCCACACCACTATGCTCACTTCGTGGAAAATTTGTCATTTTTGCAGAACACTTGCTCAGATAACACTACTGTGTTTCCTGTAGCTATCCCTGTTCAAGTGTGAGGTGAGTAGTCATTTACGCACTGAAAAACAGACATGCCTATTGGATACTCTGGCCGGCCACTCTGTCAGGCATCAGGGTTACAGAGACCAAGGGGACCCCAACTCAAATATCTCACAGTTTGGAAAAAGAGAATGACGGGATAGACAGGTGAAGAGGTGGTTATACTATGCCGCAATTGAAGTTACCCCAAGGTGGTATAGGAGCCCATAGTAGGGGTCTCTATCCCTTTAAAGGTAAGGATTGCTATGGAAGGCATCTCAGAACACTTTCTATTAGGATTTTGTTAGGGATAGCATTCAATCTGTAGATTCATTTGGGCAGTATGGACATCAATATCAATTTTCCAATCCATGAGCATGGACTATCTTTCTATTTATTTGTGTCTTTTTCAATTTCTTTCATCAATGTCTTATAGTTTTCAGTGTATAGGTCCTTCACCTCCTTGGTTAAATCTATTCCTAGGTATTTTATTCTTTTCGATGTAATCGTAAATGGGATTTAAAAAAAATTCTCTTTCTAATAGTTTGTTATTGTGTATGGAAATGCAACAGATTTTTGTATATTGGTTTTATATCCTGCAACTTTACTGAATTTATTTATTAGTTTTAACAGTTTTGGGGGGAGTCTAGGTTTTTCTATCTATAATGTCATGTCACCTGCAAACAGTGACTTTTATGTCTTCCATTCCAATTTGGATTAACTTTTATTTCTTTTTCTTACATAATTGCTCTGGCTAGGATTTCTAATACTATGTTGCATAGAAATGGTGAGAGTGGGCATCCTTGTCTTGTTTCTGATTTTAGAGAAAGAGCTTTTAGCTTTTCACCATTGATAAAGCTGTTTCAACAACAATAATAAATGAATGATCAGAGTGTTCCAAGTGGAAGGAACTGCAGACACAGAGAGATACAGGCCATCAACCCAAGTTGTTTGGAAAGCAAAAGTCAGGAGAGAAATCAGAAATAAGCAAGTTGGTGCTGAAGAGGTAGGCTCAAGATGAACATATGTATGTTATAGTAAGGAGTTTGGATTTAATCCTAAGGAAGAGGAAGAGGACCAGATTTATATGGTATAAAAATATATCTGGTCTCTATGGGGAGAATAGATTTGGTGGGACCCAGAGATTGCGTTAATTTGTAGTAAGTTTTCAGAGGTATTTAGGAGAAACAACCAATAGGACGTTGCTTGAAGAAAGTAACTTGGCCTGACCCTGGGTTAGCAGCAAGCACCTCCCACCCTTTGCTGGTGCAGACAGTGCTACTCCCTCTCTCAGAGCCTAGTCAACCACCTGTGTTTTCAGGCCCTCACAGATGAAAGGACCACACTCTGAACATGGATCTTTAAACGAGATCTCAATCTTTCCTACTGACCTTCTCAGTGGTACAGGGTCAGCTTTTTATAAGCCAGACTTTCAAACATCACCATCGAAAAAAAAAATATATATATATATAATGCTAATACCCAGATGTAATGTTCTAGCTTCTGAAGCTAAGGGATTAATGTTTTTCCTAAAGTGAATTAGGAAAAAGAAATTACAGAATCAGTGTTAGAAATTGGAGAGCTAAGCAGCTGTTTAAAAATAATTATCCTCAAGTATATGTATAGACATTTACACACTCAAAAATTGGTTTTTAAAAAGTGTGTTCTCTGACTGAGAACAAAATAAGAAAACAACCAAGTGGTCCCATACAGAATAATTCCTTTTATGGAAAATTACTTAACAGTGGAATGGATAGCTAAAGCCAACTGGGCAACTCTTTCTCCACTTTAATGAATAAGTTTTTATATCTCTGGGAAGGCTCTGGTGTGGCCCCATCCATCAGGAGTGGCGCCAGCAGCTCCTGGGCAAGACAGCAAGAGCGTCAGCGAACGAGTGCCCAGCACCCCCCTCGGCCTTTCTTGCATGGTTCAGTGGTCCATAAAGGTCAATGAGCATTCATGGCCTGTTTAAAGAAAGGGTCTCTGGCTACATTTCTGTGTAAAAACAGGAATGAAACTCCCTGCTCATAGGTAGATGCCCTTAAGATACTTACTTTCCACTTTGGAGACAAAGCCCAGACTCCGCTTCAGGTCAGAGCAGATAGAGTGGAGGCACCATCGGAATTTTGCATCACAGCGATACTTGTTGGCACCGCAAGTGTCATAACAGACATCCAGCTGGTTGCAGCACTTGGTCATTGCTGGAATGCCCAAGTCCATCTGGGGAAAAGAGAAGGAGGAAAATGCCACGTTTAGACCAAGGACCTTAGGCAACCTTGCCCCTATGCTAAGCGAGCCAGTTCTCAAATTCCTGCTACATATTCAGATGTATTGAGAAACAACAGTGACTTAAGAGAATATGTCAGGCTGATAGTTACAGGATGGTAAGTTTCAATCACAATTTAGTCATTAGTTTAATAACTCAGAGTGATCTGTTTTTTCTTCTTCTGGATTGTAGTAATTTTTAAATTCGTAGGCCACAACAGTGATGAAAATAGAAATTGGAACATTCATCCAGGAGCAGAGCTTCAAGACTTCCAAATTTAGCTAAAACTCGTGTGAGATTTTGTTTGAGCAAAGGATCCCAAGGCTCAGAATTATGAAAAATAAAGCCTTGGTTCCTCAAGCAGTCACCAGCATTGATCAGAGGCTTGCCGCATACCGCACTGTCCTAATGGCACGTGTGTGCATCTCTACGTGTTGGGGAGCAGAGTCAGAGCAAGGATGCAGCGCTCCTGAACATGAGGGGCTCTGCTCACATCTAACACACACCCAGACACACATGTGTGCACATTTGTTAACCAATGTAAATGCTGTGGCATAAGCTGAGTTGGCTCATAGAATGCCGTCTGTAAAGTGATCAAACAGGAATTTTATAGAGGATTTTGAAAGCAGGTGAAGAGAGGATTAACAAATTAGGAGAGACTTAGAAAATAGCAGGTAAAGAAAGGAAATAGTGAGCAAGTCACATATGTGAGCAGGTCAATTAGTTTGTTTAGTCTTCAAGAGTCTTAGCGGGGAAATGCATACATACTATAAGTTTTCACTGGGGAGAAGGCTAAGTTGATGGATGACCTTGACTTTCAAAGTAGCTCTAGTTAGACTTGATAAACACTCGAGTGAGGAAAGGACATGATACAAAGAGTGAACAAAGAAGAGTAATTGTCATATGATGTATAAAATAGATGGGAACAGGGTGGGTCTAGATGTAGATCAAGCATCTTGGAATCTTTTGCAGTTTTTCTGAGAATATAAACTTGGATAGAATCTGTGAAAGTCTGGTTTCAGGGCATGGGTGGGGATTGATTCATCAGCTATTATGGGTCCTTTCCCCTTGGGTCTCCTAAGTGTTCTCTCATTCAAACTTTTATTCCACAGCCACCTAAGCAAAATATGGAGTTTGACCCTTTAAAGTGCCCTTTTAAGCAACATTTAAGAGATAATCTAGCTCATTATTAGACTCATCAGAGGCCTGGGCTTTGCAATTCTGGGTAAACTACTTTGTTTACACCTTACCCCTAAAACTAAAAACATAGCACACAGAGGTCACTGAGAATTATATGAGTACAGTCATGGCTGTCATTCAATCCAACTAAATTGGAAATTCTTGAACTAGTTCAAGTTTGTATCAGCAAACTAAATGACATTACTTCCAAAAAATAGTGCATACCACTTCCATAGCTGCTAAACTAGTATCAAGTAAAATATATTGGCCAAAAATAGGTGGTTTTTCTAACATAAATAAAGATTTGAAATGATTGTCTTTCTCCTGTGTCCACACGCACACCGATTATTTCAGACGAAGCTGGGTGAACAGCTGCACAGGTTGCTCGGTGCACAAGAGGGCGCTATTTACAAGGTGCTTTCCCACAAGACACCATGGATTTTTATATTTATTAAGAAAAATGTCTAGCCAATAGCAATCAAGTTTTCTCTTTTTTAAAATATTTTATTTATTTATTTTCAGAGAGAGGGGAAGGGAAGGAGAGAGGGAGAGAAATATCAATGTATGGTGGCCTCTCATGTGTCCCCCATTGGGACATGGCCTGCAACCTAGGCATGTGCCCTGACTGGGAATCGAACTGTGATCCTTTGCTTCACAGTCCCGCACTCAATCCACTGAGCTACACCAGCCAGGGCTCAAGTTTCCTTTTTTAACAAAATCAGCATATTTATATAAATTTCTGACAAATTTAAAAAAAACTGTCTTGAGGAAAGGGAACCGTTTTTCAATCTACATAAAAATTCCAAACTTCTGCCAAGATGAAGGTGTAGGTGGAAATAGTGTGCCTTCTTGCACAACCAAGTTTAAAGACAATAAAATTTTAGTAACAAAAAACGCAGCCAAAACACAGAAAATTGAACTATACAGAAGTCCAACAACAAGGAACCCTTCAGCCAGACCAGTAAAAGGGGCAGAGTCAGCAACTGGTGGAGCGGGGTTGCACAGGAAAACTCGGCCAGACCATCCCAGGCCCACGTGTGGAGGATCCCAAGCATGGGGTTGTGAGGGGCAGACCCAGTGAGGGTGCAAGGCAGCAGGCTGACCACAGTCACGCATTTATGCTCAGATAAACCAGTGAAGGAGCAAGCATTGAGACAGACCATGAAGGCCCCAGCGGCAGGAAGCAGCAGAGGGGACCACTATTGTCCCTCTCTGACCCTGCCCCCACATACAGTGTCACAACCAGTGACCTGGGTAGCCCCGCCCTGGTGAACACCTAGGGCTCCACCCCTCAGGTGTGAACAGACCAAAACATGGCTCAAGCAGAACTCAAAGCCCCAGAGCCGATAAATCTAAGTGATGAAGAAATAGCCAAACTTCCAGATGCACAGTTCAAAACACTGGTGATCAGGATGCTCACAGAACTGGTTGATTATAGTTACAAATTAGAGGAATATATTAAGGCTAAACCAATTGAAATGAATGGAAATGCACAGGAAACCAACAGTAATGGAAAGGAAACTGGGACTCAAATCAAAGGAATGGACCAGAAGGAAGAAAAAAATGACCAAACAGAAAAGGATGAAGAAACAAGAATTCAAAAAAAATGAGGAGAAGCTTAGGAACCTCCAGGACATCTTTAAACGTTCCAACATCCAAATTATAGGGTACCAGAAGGGGAAGAGGAACAGTCACGAGTGGAAAACTTATTTGAACAAATAATAAAGGAGAATTTCCCCAATCTGGCAAAGGCAATAGACTTCCAGAAAATCCAGGAAGCTCAGAGAGTCCCAAAGAAGAAACACACCAAGGCACATCATCATTACATTATCCAAGATTAAAATGAAAGAGAATTTTAGAAGCAGCAAGAGATAAGGGGACAGTCACCTACAAAGAAGTATCCATCAGACTGTCAGCAGATTTCTCAGACATTACAGGCAAGAAGGGGCTGGAAAGAAGTATTCCAAGTCATGAAAACCAAAGACCTACAACCAAGATTGCTCTATCCAGCAAAGTTTTCATTTAGAATGGAAGGGCAGATAAAGTGCTTCTCAGATAAGATCAAATTCAAGGAGTTCATCATCACCAAGCCCTTATTATATGAAATGTTAAAGGGACTTATCTAAGAAAAAGAAGATCAAAAAGATGAACAGTGAAAGGACAGCAAGCTCACAGTTATTAACAACCACACCTAAAACAAAAGCAAACTAAGAGGACAGCTAGATCAGGAGCAGAACCATAGAAATGAAGATCTCATGGAGGGTTAGCAACAGGGGAGTTGGAGGAGGAGAAGGGGGGACAAGGTACAGAAAATAAGTAGCATAGATGGTAGATAGAAAATAGGGGGGAGGGCAAGAATAGTAGAGGAAATACAGAATCTAAAGAACTTGAGACATGTGGTCATAAACTAAAGGGGAAATGGTGGGGGAGGGGGATGCAGGGTGGAGGGGAATGAAGGGGGGAATAGAACAACTGTAATGGCATAATCAATAAAATTTTTAAAAACCTAAAATAAAAACAAACAAAAAAATTTCACACAGGGGACCAGGATTTAGTTAGAATAAGCATCATGCTGCTTAGACATTTATTACAAAGTAAAATCTTTTGAATCATCAAAAAAGTGAACTTGAGCCTAGAAAAGGTACAATTTAAAAATCAGTTTAGATACGAAATTCCTCTACCTACATTTTACATAAAACCTCCTTCCTAAAGAAGTCTTAAAAGAAATTAATTTATAACTTATTTTCAGGGGAGGCCGACAGCTTGAGAAATGGTCTACAGTGTGTGATAAATGTTTAGCCAGTGGCTGGGTGCGTGTGTGGAGGGTTATTTTAGGGAGGATGTTTGCAGATTTCTACGATGTTAATAGTCCAAATATAGCTGATTTGACACTTCCAACACAAAAAGTCCTGACGATGCTCCCCAATCAGCCCTCACTGGTCAGTACCAGCTGGCTCCAGCACAGGACAGGAAAAGCTCTCAGATCTGTTTCATGGTTAGTTATGTTTGAGTCCCTAAAGCTTGCCAGGTGTTTGCAATGGTGATTTCTCGGTTCACTGTATAAGGGCTTATCTGAGAGACAGCTGCCTCTGAGTAAAGGAAATCAGATACTTCTTTTAAAAATGACCTCCCTTCTTCTGTATCCAACTTAAAATCTTAATCATATTGCTCAACTATATTCTATAAGTGATCACTTCCATCAGTGGTAACTCTTGAATTTGTCTTAATTAAAACCAATCCCTTCACAACAGCATGGATGGAACTGGAGAGCATTATGCTAAGTGACGTAAGCCAGGCAGTGAAAGACAAATACCATATGATCTCACCTATAAGTGGAACCTAATCAACCAACCAAACAAGCAAGCAAAATACAACCAGAGACACTGAAATAAAGAATAAACTGACAGTTACCAGAGGGATGGGAGGAGGGGGATAATAAGGGGAAAGAGGGGGAAGGAACATCAAGGAACATGTATGAAGGACCCACGGACAAGGAGAACAGGGTGGGGAGGATTGAATGTGGGCGGTGGGGGTGAGTAGGGTGGGGGAGAGGAATGGGGGGAAAACCAGGACAAACATGATTACATAACAATAACAAAATAAACGAAAAAAAGAAAAATCAATCAAGAACACGGTGGTGGTACATACACTTTCTGGTACCTTTATACCCAGGAAGTAGGAGCTGCAGCCATTGGGCTCCTGAGGCTTATAGTTTGGTCTGGGCATTGGTGCCTTTCCTAGCAGAGAAAGGAAGCAAAAAAAGCAGGAAGAAACATTTAGAAATGAAGCATTTGGAAGCATTCATGAAATAAAAATTATCTAAAAGCATATTCAATTTTTCCTTGCAAAGTTATTGTTCCTCAGCAGATACATCCAAATTAGGTGGCGATGATGGTAGTGATGATGATCTCATAAAAGACAAGTTTGGCATTTTTCTCCTACTCTCGAAGAATTTTATGAGTGTTTATTTAATAAGAATTCTAACGTTCCTTAAGTGCATGACCTTGAAGATGAGGCGTGCGGCAAAACAGAGCTGAAACTTAAGGTTTCTTACTCCCGTCTCCACTGCCCAGCCTCACTCCTTGCACAGAAAAAGGAAAACTCTACCTTTTCATGCACTTCAGGAATCAGAATTATGACTCCTGCAAATATTTTTCCAAAATCACTTGAATGGAATTTTGCAAAATTCCATAGAGGCAGACACTGTTATTGACCAAAGAACAAAGACCAAATGCCAACACCCCTGGTTTTGGCATTTCTAATACAGAACTAGGCAGAAACTGCCTGAAAAGCTTTTAATTTCTTCATTTCTCCTACATGGCATTTTAGTTATTTATTTTTTATTGCTGTTCAAGTACAGTTGCTTGCCTTTTCGCATTTCAGTTGTTTAATGATCTTGCACATACGTACAAGGAACCTTTGTCAGTTGTACCCAGGGCAGTCATCATAAAGATGGACTTGACCTAGGGTAACCTCAGAACAGTCATTTCCGATGGGTATTTTTATCTCTTACCTGGATAAGAAGAATGGGGCTGAAAGGCCGTGTGACCTGCCTAAGTCACACAGTAAGTGGGGGAAGTAGGAGGTAAATCGGATGTCCTGTTTGCCTCCAAAGCCCAAGTTCTCCTCTAAGGAGATGCAAGACACAGCATCAGACTGAAGAAATAAGCTAAGAATTAATCCTTGAAGTGAGGTACATGGTATTTCTGGTTTTTTCCTTTAGTCTTCTATCAGATACTTTATTTTAATTATTACGAAATTTCAAAACCGAAGAAATGTCAGAGAAACCAGCACCCATGAACCCACTACACAAACATAATAAAGGTTAACATGAAACTTCCTATAAATTTTTAAAATTAAATGTTACAAGTACAGTCGAAGCCCCTTTGTACCACATTTTCTGTTTTAACTTTTAAATACTAAGTCTACGCTTTAAAACCCTCCCTCCTTATCATTCCTCAAAATTGTCTTGATTATTTCTGGACCTTCACTCATGCATCTGAATTTGAGAGCCACCACAGTTCGAGATGGTCAGAATTTTGCTTGAACATACATTGAACTAACAGGTTAATATGGAGACAACTGACTTCCTTAGACTATTCTGTCTTCTCAAACATGGGCGAAGTAAATCTTCTCATTTACTTATGTCCTTCAATAGGGGGACAGAATTCCCTCCATTCTTCACCTTCTTGATAGTATTTTTTTGAAAAACGAAAGCTTTTATTTTTGATGAAGTCTAATTTACCTATTTTCTTTCTTCAATGAGGTGACATTCATGTAACATACAATTAAGCATCTTAAAGTGGCATCAATGCTCTCATAATGTTGTGTAACCATCACCCCCACCTAGTTCCCAAACATTCTCATCCTCCGAGGGACATCCCCTGCCCTTTAAGCAGTGGGTCCCCATTCTCCCCCCTCCCTCCCGATCCCTGGCAACCACTCATCTGCTTTCTGTTTTTAGAGATTTACCTATTCTGGATATTTAAGTAAGTGGAGTCATACAATATGTAACATTTTGTGACTGCCTTCTCTCACTTAATGTTTCCACAGTTTATCTGTGTTGTAACATATTTCTGCACTCCGTTTCTTTTTATGACTGAATCCACTCTCTGGAAATACCACACTTTGCTTATTCATCCATCCAGTGATGGACAGTCTGGTTGTTTCCATCCTCTGACTCCTGGGAAAAGTGCTTCTATAACAGTGTGCACATGTATTTGTTTAGATATCTGTTTTAAATTCTTTTGCTATATTGAAGGGGTGGAGTTACTGGGTCATATAGTAATCTTATGTTTAACTTTTTGAGGCACGTGTCCACCTGTTTTCTTCAGTAGATGCATCCTTTACATTCCGACCTGCACTGCAGAAGGGCTCCAATTTCTCCACCCCCACAGTTTACCGTGTATCTAGATGTAAACTATATGTCCTTATCCTGCTTGGAACAATCTGAAGATTCAGGATTCTTTGACCTCTGGAGAATTCATAGCCATTGGCTGGATATTTTGTTTTCCTTATTCCTCTAGTTTCTCCTTCTGGGTCTCATATCGCTGAATGGTGAATCTTTTTAATCCTATGCCTCTTAAACTCTCTTTCACGTTTTTCATTCCTCCTCTCTCTGTACTGAATTTTTACTAGCTTCATCAAATCTATTTTATATTTTCCTAAATCTCTCTACAGTGACTAATCAGCTATTTAACTCATCCACTGAGTTTTTTCTTTTAATAACTATAATTTTCATTTCTTAGAATGCTATTTAACCTTTTAAATGTGTGTTCATTTTCATTGAGTTATTTTTATTGTTTTCTGTTCCTTTAATAACTTTAAAAATTCTTGTTATATTATTTATATATATTATTATATTATTTTACACAGGGTCCAGCAGAAGTAACGCCTGCCGGAGTGTGGTTGGTAGGGTAATAATATGGGTATAATAATTTATAGTTTTAATTTGAACATTTCACCTAAAATGTCCCATGGCATGCTTGATTGTGATATTGTTATGTTACAGAATGACACGCTTATCGTTTTATAATTAAAAAGGGGTGTTATTTGTGCTGGACTCTGTAGATTATTTTATTCTCTCCAGTTTGGGGGATGCTAAGTCTTTCATTTTTTACTGTTTACTGACTCTCCCTTATGGTGTATTATTTTTCACATGTTGTGTAAATTTTAAGTGAGAGCTCGGCTTTAGAGCAGCTTGTTTTTCTGAAGGACTCCTGCGTTCTGGGTCGTACACTATAAAGTGGTCCCTCGATTGCCTTTGCTTTGGTGCTAGGCGTCTCAAGATCCTTCATGTTAGTCTCTGATTCCTCACCTGTGCTTAGAATATACTGGGAGTAGCGGATTTTTAGTGAGTGTTCTTCATCTGTCCTTCAAGCCCTAGCCCTAGGGGAATAGAAAGCAGCCTTGCTATTTCCTTGGAATATTGGGTAGAGGTTTTCCAATCTTTTTTAAACAGACTGGGCAGCTCCTCAATCTCCAAGCTTTGTGCAAACTATACAGTTCCAACTTCCCAATTCTTGGGAAAGGTAAAAAGTTACTTTTCCTCTCTTTGAGCATTGAAACTCACTCCCCAGCCCCCGGAGTCTTTCTGTGTGCCGCTCAATGAAAACCCATGGGCCTCGGCAGCGGCGGCTACTCCCCTCTCTGCTGTCCCTTTGTGTCTTCCCTTTATTTCTGGGACTTGAAAGTTTCCCTTTATTTCATTCTAGTCTGGGTATTTTTTTAATGTTTCATTGTAACTCGATGTTTCTTTTTTGTAATGGAGAGGGAACATACCTATTGATGGAGTCTGCCAGTCCACCAGTAATGCCTGCATTACTTTTCAAAGGTCTCGAGAAGTATAACTTACCCTTGACAACCATACTATAACCTGCGTGTATGTGTGTGCACGCGCGTGTGTGTAAGAGAGAGAGAGAGAGAAGCACTGGCAGGGGACAGGGGTAAAGTGTATTAATTATCAGTAATCAAATTACACCTACGAAAATAATTACACCGTGCCATAGGATCAAATGCATATTTAATCTTGGAGGTGAGATTATGGTGATTTTATTTTTTTTCTTTGGATTGCTCTTTTACAAATGTTCTATATGTACTAGCTTTAAAGAAATAAGAAAAAATGTAATGAAGAAACAATCGTCTACATTTGATGGTACAGTTATCCATTTAACAATTTCCCTGGGAAAGGCCTTTCACAGCAGACTCTGTGCAGCTTCCTCTGTCTTCGTGCACTCGAGAATTCACAGAATGGAAATCTCTGATCTCCCAGTTTCAAAGACAGTGAAACGCCAGCTACAGACACTTCTTAACTGGCGTGCTATTGATGAAGGTTATTTTTTTATTGTGTTTAGTATTTATGATCGTTGCAGAAAATCTGTTTAGGAATGAAGCTTGAAGTACAAGTTCAAAGGAAAAAGTTGATGGTTTGAGTCTTGATGGAAATAATATACTATATCCTCAAATTGTAGCGTGAGTAGTTGTGAGTTGTGTTGAGTTTATAGTTTGATGTTTTGAGTTCAGGCATTAATAATGGACAAGTTGGTGTTATTTTCTGGTTTGGGCTGTTTGTAGGAGTGGCGGGGCTGACGACTTGATCCTGTAGTTTACCAGTTGGCCCAGAGGCCCACGTCCAGTCATCGCCTGTTTTTGTATAGTCTGCTAGCTAAAAGTGATTTTTATATATTTTTTAATGGTTGTGGAGGAAATGCCAAAACAAGGATAATATTTTGTGACATGTGAAATTACACGAAATTCAAATTTTAGTGTCCATAAAAAAGTTTCATTGGAACACAGCAGTACTCGCTTATTATGTCTTAGCTTACTGATTTCCCAGAAAAAAAAAATAGCAGAATGCTCTTATAATCGTAATATGAGGATGGTTTTCTAAGCAAGACAAAAATTTCAGAAAATATAAAGACTGACTTGATCTATGAAAATTAAAAACTTCTGAATAAAGTAAACCACCATAAAACACTTGAAACACTCAAAACTGAGAGTGACTTTGGGAGAGAGTCAGCCAGGAAACTAGTTCTCCCTGCAGCCGGGCGCACTGCCTGCTGGAGCCAACCTTCTCCCTCAGTGTCCTCACTGAAAAGCACAGTAAGACCTCCCGGGGCTTTCTGACCCAGGTCAAGGGTTAAGTCTTCCCAGGAGGGCGTGTCCTTTCTCTGCGCGGAGCTGCTTCCTGCAGAACCAGCCCAGTGCTCCACTCAGGTCTCAAGGAGGCAGAGCCCTGGACCTGAAATGTACATCCTGCTTGCTTCCAGAAACGCTCACGCATGGCGTACGAGTGACACATCGAGGGAACGAAGCAGAACTGTGACAATTTCATTGAAGCAATAAATTCTATTTCAGCTGCTAACGCAGATAAAGTTAGGGCATGAGGTAAAGTGACCAACTTGACCCAGTTTGCCTGGGACTGTCCCTGTTTCGTACTGAAAGCCCCACATCCCGGGAACCCCAGACCCCTCCCTCAGTGCCCAGCAAAGTGGACCGCTGGTGGTCCCAGCATGAGAAGCACCTTGTCTCTGAACCAGTAGCTGTTTTCTTTTTTCAGGCTTTAGATCCCCTGAAGAATCTGACAAAGGCTGTAAATTTTTTCCCGGAAAAATATACAAACTCACAGGTCCATACAATTTTGCTCGAAGGTTGCAAACAGATAAAAAAAAAGTCTAATAAAAAAAAAAAGGAGATTGATCATTGAAGATACTTTCTTCCTTAGAACTAAGCCCAAGAAGAAATTCCTCACAAGGTCATTTTACAAAGTGTAGCCATGCGGACAGTATCTTCAATTGCAACGTCTAAGACTCAACATTTCTGCCGCAGAGAGCCTCCCCCAGAGAGCTTCACAGACACAGAACCTCAAATCGCTCCATGATTTCTTCCAGAGGCCAGGTGTGTTGTCCAGCCGCAGGAATTTATGTTTTGTTTTGTTTGTTTGTTAATGTTGGAAGAGAACTGGAAGAATCTGAGTGCATAGTTAACTTGTTCGCCAGACCATCTTTCTCATAAAGTTCATAAAATGTATTTGGTGCCAGTCATGGGCCGTACATAGCACAGATTCTTTAAATTTTTTTCAGTTGAATTGAGAGACAGAGAGACATCAGTTTGTTGTTCTACTTGTTTATACATTCATGGCTGATTCTTGTACGTGCCCTGACCAGGGATTGAACCCGCAGCCTTGGTGTATGGGGGCACTGCTCTAACCAACTGAGCTACCCAGCCAGAGCCCATAGCACTAATTCTTTAGATACATTATCTTTTATTCTTACAACAACCTTTCAAAGTAACATTAACATAAATATTAACATTATTTATAAACATGAGGAAACAAAGGTTGAGAGTTAGGTAACTTGTCAAGGTAACCAGCAATGAGATTCCACATGTGACCGCCCAGTTTAACCCATGATTTTTCCCTTAGGACCGACCACCGGTGCAGCTCCAGGGTCCCACCCACCACAGGCCTCTAAATCAGAACTTCTGCAGTGGGAGAGGGAATCTTGTCCACATCCGTGCAGACTCCTGATAACAGCTGCACTGTCTGTGTTGTCGATGGTTCTGAATCTCCTGGTACTGTTTGTAGCCCGACTCTTTGACTAGATTTTGTGTACTGACGTGAAAATGAATTGCTGTCGATATAAGAAGTGTGAAACACAATGTTGACCCCCCTATTGTAGGCTACCAGGGTACAGACACACCTTCACCTATCTGAACAACCTATGGGCTGAACTTCTCTAAGAATGACCTTTTAAATACCACTCCAAACCTTGGCTGCACTTTGTAATCACCTGGAAAACGTTAAAAATACCCATGTCTGGCTCAGTCCAGCCCATGGAGATTCTGATTTAATTGGTTTGCTTCGTAGGAAGCCCCAGGTGATTCCAAGTGCAGGGCCAAGGTAGTGACCAATTATTTTAAGTGCTGGCACACCTCCTTTAGTTATTCCTTGCTTTACTGTGCTTCACAGGTGTTGCATTTTTTTTACAAACTAACCACGAGACCTTCCACCAGCAAAAAGATTACCACTTGCTTCATTGCAAAACTCGCTTTACTATGGTTGTCTGGAAAGAAACCCACAGTATTCTTTCACAGGGCCAACTGAAAAGGCGCAGACTCAGTTAATTATTCAGTGTCATCTGTTCAAAAGAATGCTTGATTCACAATCAAGTTGAAAAGATATTCTGTACCAATCAGGTCCTGCATCCAGGTCCTCCTCTCTGCTGGGTTCCAAGGTAACAAGGCCTCACCCATATTTTCTCTGTGGGTTTCAGGCCCCTCCTTGAACAGTTCTGTTTTGCAGAGTGAGAGGAGTTGTTTGCCTTCCTGCAATCTCTCTGTCGACTATTCCCATCCCCCACCAAGCGCTGCTGACACCAATCCTACCTGCCTGGGAAGAAGCTTTCAGCTAGAATTTGCTGAAATCTTTTAATGCTTTTTTGCTAGAGAAAGAAGAAAAGGTGTTGCTTCTTATGTTCCAAAAAAATTCCTGCTGGTATGTATGTGCTGAACCACAGACGGAAATCTTGCGTTGCCTCTGGGAAGGAAAAGAGCACCTGTGCTGGTATCTGAAGTGAGTTCATCACTTTCCGGCCCCGTTGGCGCAAACTAGCCGAGAACAGTCCAGTGACAAGGCCTCTTTGCTCGTGTACAGCCCACCTTCGACAAAGCCATGGCCAGGGGTCCAGGTGGGTCCTAGCAGAGACCAGGCTTTTACCCTGTGGCATCTTCACAGAGAAAACCCAGCTTCCTTTTTCATCATCATAGGTGGTTGAAATTCTGTAATGCAGAAGTTTTTATTCTGGAGCAGTGGTTAACCATTGTCTCCCAGTCAGTCTTGTCTTATAAGAAAGCAGTTTCCCTGCTCTCGGGTAAAAAGGGGGTGAGGGAGGCCGCTTGGGTGAGTCTATAAGTACGTAGCTTTTCTGAGTCTCTCCCAAAGCTGAGTTCTGTCTGTTGAGTGTTTGGAGAAAACATTTCGCAAGTGTTTTCCTGCTGGGCTAAACTGGCTCTCCATTTTTATCTCTAACCCCATGATGAAACATTTGATCAACTCAACCATAAAACCAATGCTGTATGAAACTGTGTATGCTTTTGAAAGCATTTGCCTTTGAAATTACCTTCTGCCTCCCAGCTTCGAGGTCCAGGGCTCAACATTCTGCCCCCATTATGTGGACTTCAGAGCAGGGAAGGAAGAACTGGCCCCAGGGTCTCCTCCTTGGCACCCAGGTTTCCTCTTTACCACTGGGGCCAGGTAGCTCCAACCCATTCACAATGCTGTATCTGGCCCCAGGCCTGAGAGACAGTCCCAGTCCCCTCAGGGCCTGGTCCCAGGTGGGCAGAGACAGCTGGCAATAACCTTTCCTGCCCACTGACCACCTGCCATTGCTGACTGAGGGGAGGCAGCAAACGGATCCCATCGGAGACTGGCAAAGCCGGAAGGATGGCGTGAACAGCACCAGGGGGAAAACTGCATTTCCAGGCTTAGCGCAGTGCGACTTAGGAAGCTGCTCCAGCCCCTGACAAAACTTCATCCAGACACATAGCTTCAGCTTTCACCCTGGGAACTCAAACACCTCTGTGCTCTCGCTGCCCATCCAGGTCACCTTTCCCCGAAGTGCCGCCTCATGACAAACTCCTTAAAATGGCCAGATAAAATGCAGGGAGCTCAGTGAAATCTGTATTTCAGATAAACAACCAATAATTTGTCAGTATAAGTCTGTCCCAAATACAGTGTTCAGCAGGATGAAGGCCTGCTTGAGTGTGGCTGGTAGGGTGATAATATGGGTGTAATAATTTATAGTTTTAATTTGAACATGTCACCTAAAATGTTATATGGTGTGCTTGAGTGTGATATTGTTATGTTACAGAATTACATGCTCATGATTTTGTAACTTAAAAAAAAGGGGGGGTGTTACTTGTGCCGCACCCTCTATTTCAAATGTATTAACACATTATCTGTTGTTTATTTGAGATTCAGATTTCACTGGGTGAATCCTATCTAAGAGGTGAATGACAGCAAAAAGTTCACGACCCATTGTGACCCTGCTGTGGCGTTCACAGGTCTACCAGGACCAGTTTTTACAGAAAGAGAAACTGTGTACTCACCATATCGGCATCTGTACTGACAGACTCCGTTTTTCCCTCCCAGCAGCTCCAGAAAGGAGTCAAAGTAGTCATTGACAGATTCAAAGCTGCCTCGGATGTGCCGGAGGCCCCAGTCTGAATAGGACTCCTCTGCATCAGGGCTGGTGTCAGGGCTGGTGTCAGGGCTGGTGTGGCTCTGTGCCAGGCCACCCCCCAGGCTGAGCCACAGAATCAAGGAGCTGGTGACCAGCCTCATCCTGTAGCTGGCTGGGTCCTCCTCAGACCCCAGCCAGTCCCGGGAAGCCCAGGCACACAGCCTGTAGGCCTGACGTCGTCGGACAGGACTAGGAAAGAGATTATCTGAAACAGTCTGTGTTCCCCAGAGGTGGACTTTAAACAGAGCTACAGAGGTTGGGATGAGATCAGGGCAATTAGAAAGGGCAAAGGTTAGGCAGTGGGAGGGATGGCCGGCAAGAGAGCACTATCAAGAGGGACTCCACAGCCCTGGAGGCGGAGGGAGATGTTGGCAACTTCTAGGAGGTTTTGGAGCCATTGGAATTCTGCCCCCAACCAGCTTGTTAATCTATTGATCAGTTACAAGTTTGGCCCTTTGGAGTCAGGCAGGTCCTTGTCCCAAGGTCCTAGCCCCACCCCTAAGGCACTCGCCTACTTATGGTCTTAAGGGAGATTCAGGAGTATGTACAAAGGATTCAGAAAAACCCCAGTGATAGTGGGTTAACACTGTCACCTGCTCCCATGGTCAGGATATGTATTATCAGAGTGCAGACTGGGGATTCAGATTTGGTACCCCCGCCTCTGCCTCCGTCCCTACTTGGTGCTCAGACCCTGTCCTCTAAGCTGGCAGAGCTCCCGACTGCAGCCAGCCTGGCGCTGGAGCCTGCTTGCCTCTTCACTTACACCAGTGTTTTTATTTACACTCAGCAGTGTGGCATCTACGGACTGCCCAGGTGGTCCTCAGGGATGCAGGTCCCAGACTGCCGGTTTGCCTTCGGTGGCTTAAAAGTCAGAGGGTTTCTCAGAAACGCTATTCGAAATTTTAGGCTGTAAGAGCATTGATGGAAGTCTAGTGTTTTGACATCACATTTAGTTTATACTTGCTGTTAGTCATAGGAAGAGATGAATTCCATCCTGAAATCACTAGTCTACAACAATGATACACTTCTTGACCAAATGTAGCTTCTCTCTCAAAAGTCTGGAAAGCCACATAGAATATAATGAACTAGATTTCTCCATTTTAGGTAAGAAGTGTGTTTATATAAAGACTCTGGGTCAAAGAATGGTAGAGGTAAAAAACATTTCACATGATCAACAGTACCTCCATATTTTAAAGTACCTGTACTTTTTCAAACCACTGCGTGTATGCACGTGTGTATATGTTTATAAAATATATATATACTCATCAATATATTTATTTTTCACATCAATTTTACAAAGCAGGGTAAATATCATTCTTATTTAAGAGGTGAGACATGAGCTACAAAAGTTAAATGACTCAGTCAATATAGCAAGGCTGCCTTGGCTGGTGTGGGTCAGTGGATTGAGTGCCGGCCTGTGAATCAAAAGGTCACAGGTTCGATTCCCAGTCAGGGGATAGGCCTGGGCGGCTGGGGGATGGGGGCATGTGAGAGGGAACACATCGATGTTTCTCTCCCTCTCTTTCCCCTTCTGTAACTATAAATAAATCTCTTAAAAAAATGACCAGGCTTCAGTGGTAAAGCTGGAATCAGGTCCAGCTACTTAACTGTGCATCCCAGTCAAAATGAAAATGTGGGGCTCCTTTTCAAAAACCAGGAAATCATGCCATTAAAGGAACTAAAATATAAAGCTTTTCCTTTAGAAATGTCTTATCGCTTATAGAATATAATAGGGTAATATATTCTATTATATTATGAGAATATATAGGGTAATATATTCTCAGTTATTATGATAACTGAGTAACAATATAAAGTTATGAATCCCAAATATTTTGGTGTCATAATTTTATGTAATATATGTATTAGTTAATACGTGATATCTTGATTGATCATAAGATTTTTCTGACGTGCTTTTCTGCAAATTCATTTATTAGATCACCAAAATTTATGCTTTCATTAACATTTTTTGGTCCTTTTTATTTCTCTTTTTAAAAAATATAGTTTATTGATTATGCTATTACAGTTGTCTAATTTCCTTCCCTTTGTTCCCCTCTGCCCTGCACACCCCCCCCCACCTGCATTCCCCTCCTTTAGTTCACGTGCATGGGTCCTACATATAAGTTCTTTGGCTTCTACATTTCCTATACTATTCTTAACCTCCCCCTATCCGTTTTCTACCTACTATTTATGCTACTTATTCTCTGTACCTTTTCCCCTGCTCTCCCACTGATAACCCTCACACTCCCCCACTGATAACCCTCCGTGTGATCTCTATTTCTGTGATTCTGTTCATGTTCTAGTTGTTTGCTTTATTTGTTTTCAGTTCAGTTGTTAATAACTGTTTGTTGTTATTTTACTGTTCATATTTTTTATCTTCTTTTCCTTAGATAAGTCCCTTTAACATTTCATACACTAAGGGCTTGGTGATGATGAATTCCTTGAACTTGACCTTATCTGAGAAGCACTTTATCTGCCCTTTCATTCTAAATGAAAGCTTTGCTGGATAGAGTAATCTTGGTTGTAGGTCCTCGCCTTTCATGACTTAAAGTACTTCTTTCCAGACCCTTCTTGCCTTCAAGGTTTCCTTGGAGAAATCAGCTGATAGGCTTATGGGAACTCCTTTGTAGGTAACTCTCTCCTTTTCTCTTGCTGCTTTTAAGATTCTCTCCTTATCTTTAATCGTGGATAATGTAATTATGATGTGCCTTGGTGTGTTCCTCCTTAGGTCCAATTTCTTTGGGACTCTCTGAGCTTCCTGGATTTCCTGGAAGTCTATTTCCTTTGCCAGATTGGGGAAGTTCTCCTTCATTATGTTTTCAATTTCTTGCTCTTCCTCTTCTCCTTCTGGCACCTCTATGATTCGGATGTTGGAATGTTTAAAGTTGTTCCGGGGGTTCCTAAGCCTCTCCTCATTTTTTTGTATTCTTGTTTCTTCATTCTGTTCTGGTTGAATGTGTTTTTCTTCCTTCTGCTCCAAACCATTGATTTGAGTCTTGCTTTCCTTCCCGTCACTGTTGATTCCCTGTACATTTTCCTTTATTTCACCATTCATAGCCTTCATTTTTTTCTTCTTATTTGTAACCATATTCAACCAATTCTGCGAGCATCCTGATTACCAGTGTTTTGAACTGTGCCTCTTATAGATTGGCTATCTCTTCATTGCTTAGTTATTTTTTCTGAAGCTTTGATCTATTCTTCCATTTGGGCCATTTATTTGTGTCTCAGGGGGCCTGTTATGTAGTAAGGGGTGGAGCTTTAGATATTCACGAGGGTGGGACAACCCACATTGCTGGGTAGTGATGCTGTATGTGGGGGAGGGGTCCAAGGGAACAATGGTGCTTGCTCTGCTCTCTGGAGGATTGCTGTCACTTCCCCCATTACCCACAATCAAATTGGGCCCTTCCAGCGCTGATTCCTGGGTGGGTGGGTTATGTACATTCTAGGACCTGGTGGGTTTCTCCAACGAATTCTCCTGTGAAGCTGAGAGTTTCTTTTGCCGCCTCGACTCCCACGGGTGTTTTCAGTCAGAGGTTTTGAGGCTTTACTTCCCTGCACTGGTACCCTGGATTGCAGGGTCTGTCTCACTCCCCAGTTCCTCCTGGTTTATCTGCACGTGAATGTGGGACCATCCAGTCTGCAAGCCTCCACCTCATCCCGTCGCCAGCTGCCGCCTGTCTGCCCCAGTCCTCCAGCTGCTGCCTTGTCACAGTCCTCTCTGCCTGGCCGCCTGTCTCAGCCCCTCCTACCGGTCTGGACAAATGTTTCTTCTTTAACTCCTTGGTTGTCAGATTTCCATACAGTTCGATTTTTTCTGGCAGTTCTGGTTGCTTTTTGTTTTTAAATTTGTTGTTTTCCTTCTTTTAGTTGTGCAAGGAGGCTCAGTATGTCTACCTACACCTCCATCTTGGTCAGAAGTCCTGAACATTTTCAATTTATATCATTGAAAACAATGCCAGTTGCTCTTGCAAGATCACAACTAATATATATTTTCTTTTTTATTCATTTTAATTGCAGGTGATGTACAATATTATAGTAGTTTCAGGTGTACAATCCAGTGAGTAGACACCTACAAAACTTATGAAGTGATCCCCCTGGTAAATCTAGTCCCCATCTGACAACATACATGGTTATTACAATATTATTGACCACATTACTTATGCTGTGCTCTACATCTCTGTGCCTGTTCTATAACTATCAACTTATAATTCTAAGTCCTTTCACCTTTTTTACATATTCCCATAATGCTCCTCCCATCTGACAACCATCTACATGTTCTTTATAAATCCATTTCTGTTATGCTTTGTTTTTTACATCTTACATATAAGTGAAATTATCTGGTGTTTGTCTTTTTCTGTCTGACTTACTTCACTCAGCACAATGCCCTCTAGGTACATCTATGTTCCTGCAGAGGCAAGATTTCTTTTCTTTCTTTTTTTGCTGAGTCATATTTCATTGTGTATATGTACCACTTCTTTATCCATTTATCTACTGATGTGTGCTTAAGTTTGCTTCCATATCTGGGCTTTTGTCAATAATTGCTGCAGTGAACATATGAATGTATATATGTCTTTTTAATTTAGTTTTTGGGTTTTTTCGAATAGAAGTGAAATTGCTGGGTCCTTCTTTGTCTATTGTATAGACTTTGTTTTAAAGTTTATTTTGTCTGGTATAAGTATTGCTACCCCAGCTTTTTGTTGTTGTTTACAGTTTCATGAAAAATCTTCTTCTACCCCTTATTTCTGTCTGTGTGTGTCTTTAGATCTAACATGAGTCTCTTATAGACAGCATATGCCAGGGTCATGTTTTGTTATCGATTCAGCATCTTATGTCTTTTGATTGGTGCATTTAATCCATTTGGATTTAAAGTAATTGCTGATAGATATGCATTTACTGCCATTTTATTATTTATATTTTTTATCTTTTATTCTTCTCAAAACCCTTTAATATTTCTTATACTACTAGGTTGATGGTGATGACGTCCTTTAGCTTTTTCTTGTCTTGGAAGCTCTTTATCTGTTCTTTGATTCTAAATAATAGCTTTGCTGGGTAGAGTAATTTTGATTGTATGTCCTTGATTTTCATCACTTTGAATATTTCATGCCAATCCCTTCCGGCCTGAAATGTTTCTGTTGAGAAATTAGCCGACAGTCTTATGGGAACTCCCTTGTCGGTAACTAAGTGCTTTTCTCCTGCTGATTTTAAGATTCTCTTTTTATCTTTAACCTTTGCTGTT